TCCACCTCCAAGGAATTATGAACTTGCACTCCAAATTCTTTCACGGGTGAGTTTTATGGAACATGGTTAATTGAAATAAAGATCTCACTGAAAGTGTGGACTTAGACTGTATTTAAATAGAGTTAATTATTAGTGTATAACACTCATGCTACAGGTGATTGAGCGGCTCTATTGCCTTTTAAGTGAAGTTTAGTCTTCTCAATAAGAACCTCTTAATATATATGATGCTGTCATACGCTATGAGAAGAGAGTCATATTTGGGGTAGACTATTCTTAAATACTGACTGATTACACTTTTTGCGTCTTGTGCTGCTCCTTCTAATCCGTCATTATGGGACACAGGGTTACACACAGAGGGAATAGCTTATTTACTTACGAGAAAAGATTTTGTTTTGGACAGAGTAAGGGTGTGGAGGCTGAAAACCATTTTTGGGCTGATTGCGATAGAAACGAGTCTAGGTCTGTATAGGCAAAACGACAACACAAAATTGCTGCTGACATTATTTTCTAGTGGCTCATGAAATTCTCCATACCCTTCAAAATAGATACCCTTCACTTCCACCTACTTCCACTGAACCTGAAAGCAGTTGCACATTATTGTCATCAGTTGAAGTTATCCCAAGTGCACAATAAGTCCATAAGCAGGCAACTTTGATGTTATCGAATGTTGGATTGTGCAACAGGTTCTGCTCTCCGTACTTTGTTCCATTATTGCTGAAAATAGTTTGTTTAAAGAATTGATAACTTTCAGTCGAAACTCTCAAAAGAAAATTGGATAGCTAGTTGAAAATGAAACATATGGAGGGCTATGGTGAAAGAGCAGAAGTGTGGAGTTAATTAGATAGCCCTTTCACAGGCACAATGTGATGAATGATCTCCCGTAATGTATAATTCTACGAAATTGAATGTACTGATGACAAACAGAATGGTTAAAATACTTTTATTGATCAGAGTTGAAATCAATACTTAAAATTACCATGCTGCTATAAGTTGCAATAATATATGACTATAAAGAAAAAAAAACATACATACAGCACGTAAATCCTTCTTTGATTTATGTGGTCACAGAAATATGCACATTTCACTGTGTCTCCAGAAAGAGAGTAAAGGTATGAACGGACCATTATGTTCCCTTCTGCATGTACTTTAATGCAGCTTGTGAACAAATTATATGCACCACAAGATTAAAAAGAGGTAAAATTGGAACAGTATTGTCCCTCACAATACATTCATTAACTATTATGGTATTATTTTTCTCAAGCCATTGGACTTCTTTAACAATTTTGTTTGTTGCAATACAGTTGAAAAAAGATTATTTTGTCCAACTTTTTATTCATTCTGTCTTTTCAATGATTACATCTTTCTTTGCTTATCACTTCACCTTTTGTGAAATCTAAACCAGTTTGATAAGTGAGCTCTCTGCAACTGTCGTAAACTTTATGGGAAGGACAACCCACAGCTGAAATTAGTATGTTTAAAGTATCATCTACAGATAGTCCCATCACCTTTGATTAAATGTGCAACCAGGCTACAGGAAATGACAGTTTCTCAGCATTTTGTGGAAAGTTAGATTTAATTTTAGGAGCTGATAGATCGTAATTAACTAACCAATACCCACGGTACAATATGTTGTAAGGTTATTGGGTCTGCATTTTCTATTTCTCCTATTTATGGCAGTTTCTGAACATTATGTTGATCCAAAAAAGGGAACTACAGATCTGTTATCTTTACATCTGTAGTAAGCAAAATGCTGGCATCTGTTATAAAGGATGGGATAAATAGATACCTTGTTGATAATTATCTGGTTGGGCAGTCAGCATGGATTTGTGAATGGGAAATCATGCTTGATCACGTTCTTTGATCAAGCATGATCAAAGATCAACTTTTTGAAGATGTTAGTAATAAAATTGATAAATGAGAGTTAATGGATCAGAAGATTTTTGGTCAGTGGATTTTTCCCACAGGAAGCTGGTTACAAAAATGAAAACATATGGGAAAGGAGGTGATGTACTGGCATGGATAGAAAACAGGAGTAGGAATAAATAGGTCATTCTAGCATTGACAGGCTGTGACTGGTGGGGTACTGCGAAGATCAGTACTTAGGCCCTAGCTGTTCACAATATATATCAATGATTTAGAGTTGAAACCAATTGTAATATTTCCAAACTTGTGGCTGATACAAAGCTAAGTAGGAATGCGTGTTGTGAAAAAGGTATAAAGAGGCTTCAAACGGATTTGGACAGACTTAGTGAAAGAGCTAGAGCATGATGGATAGAATATAATAGGTAAAAATGTGAAGTTATCTACTTTGGCAAGGAAAGCAGATGTGCAGTGTACTTTTTAAAAGATAAAAGGTTGGAAAGTGGAAATGTGCAAAACTTCCAAGTCACTGGGGGTTAACATATAGGTGTAGCAAACTTTATTGCGAGAAGATTTGAGTACAGGAATCATAAAGTCATGCTTCAAGTATATAGAAGATTTTTTAGACCACGTCTGCAAGTCTCCTCATCTCAGGAGAGATATTATAGCCATAGAGGTGTGCAACAATGGTCCACCAGACTTGTTCCTGGAATGACAAGACTGTGCTATGAAGAGAACTTGAGCAAACAGAGCTTATATTCTCTAGAGTTTCAAAGAACAAGAACATCTCATTGAAACTTACATAATACTTAAAGGGTTGGACAGTGTCAATTCAGGTAAGATGCTTCCCTGGTTGGAGAACAAGAGCATAATTTTAAAATAAGGTCAGAGATGAAGAGGCTCAGACACTTGCAAACCTTTGGAATTCTCCACTATAGAGGGCTGTAGAAGCTTAGTCTTTGAGTATGTTTAAGGTAGAGATTGATACATTTATGATTGCTGGTGATATACAGGATCATAGAATGGGGTGGGTATAAGGCATTTAAGTGTTCCATCAGACATGATCTGTATTGAATGATAGGACAGGCTCAGCAAACTGAATGGCCTTCTCCTGTTCCTATATTCCTATGAATTTAATCAATCAAGGAAAGTTTTGTTCAAAGTCTAATGAGCTTAAAACATAATAAATCAATGGGCAAACTCCATTATTTGTCCAATGTTCATATGAGCAGCTTCATAAAAGTTACATAGATAGAAATGAGCTCTCCTTGTATTTGTTTTCAGGAAATATCATGCTTCCCAAAATTACATATGATCAATTGCAGCTTTTTTGATTCATTTGTGGGATCTGAGAATTGTGGAAAAGACAGCATTTATTGTCCATACATAACAGCCCTTGAGAAGATGATGGTCTTGAACTGCTACCTGCCATTTGTCATACACACACCTACCGTGCTGAGGAGAGGAGGTTTTTGGTTTTTCACTCAATGATGATGAAGAAACAGTCATTTTATGTGTGACTTGGAAAATAACTTGCAGTAGCTGGTGTTTCCACATCCTTATTCGTTCAGTTCTTGAAGTCAAAGATTTGGAAGGTGCTATTGAAAGAGCTTTTGGTGAATTGTTTGCATTGCTTCTTGTAGATCATACACACTGCTGCCACTATGTATCAGTGCTCAAGAGGTTCAATATTGATGGTGATGAATGGGCTGCCATGGACTGACCAAACTAATGTTGAGATACCTGTGGGTCATTGGAACAGTACACACCCAGGCAAGTTGAAAATATGCTTTGAATTGCTCCTTTCCAGATAGTGAAATGGCTTTGAGTTGCTAGTGAGTTATACATTACAGAATTCCCAGACTCTGATCTAGTCTTGTAACAACAATATATTGTGGTTGGGCCAGTTGCGTTTCTGATCAACGTTGATTCTTGAAAATTAACGGTGGATGATTGGATGATGGTTATATCTAATGAGGGTGACATTCATGTGAATTGGTATGAAGTGCCTTATTTATGTAAAAGGATAACCGGATGCCTTCTTTAGGCCCTCTTATACAAATTGGTATCCTGTGTTCTGGGTTGTTTAGCAGTTGGTTCATTTTTTACGTCAATAAACATTTTTTTTTCCCAAAAGCATTGCCGTAGACTCAGGAGGAACTGGACTGCAAATCCCTTTGTGACATGTCCAGGCAGTAAAAGCTTACAGTCAACACCCTGGAGTTCCTCCAGGTTCCTCACCTTGTGTAGCAGACCTCATTTGCTGGTGGGGCCATTTAGATTGATGGCATCGGCTGTGGGAGCACAAGTTGTGCTTTGTCGTCCAGAAGCCATTTGTGCATCTGATTCACTTCCCTGTAGAACTTGTGCAGAGTTGAATGGTAAAGGGAGTTTCAGCAATTCAAACTGTGGCATAGAGTTCTCTGATGGAACTTCCATCTGTTTATATAGTTCTGGCAATGTCCTTAGGGTGCCCTCAGTGGCTCCACCAATTGCACTCAGGATCTTGGAGAAACCAGCGAGCCACTAAAACCGAACTTATATCTCTCAGCCGGCGTTTTGTAGTTCTAAAGCACAAAATGAGCGACTCTGCGAGTCATTCACTTAGCCAAAGCTTGCATTGTTTCTTGGTTGATATTGCAGACAGAGCCCACAGACGACCATCGGAGGGTGACGACCATCAAAGTCATTGTGCAACTTCAGTGGTCGAATGGCACTAGAGGCAGCGCTGCCCAACCTCACAGCAACTGTGAGGATAGTGATGTGTAACAGTCACCATCACCCCTCGCTGATCGCTCTTAAAAAGTAAACAAAAAAAGAGCCAATTTCATTTCTTATTAAAAGTACACTTCGATCGATCTGTTACATTTCCATATAGAGATCTCCATAATCCTCTGCAGCCGAATGTGTGCCGCCGCTCAGTGTGTTCTGCAAAACCTGAAGACCACTTCCCTTTAGCTTACACACTGAGAAGAAAGGACGAATTTAGCAGTTAAGTAATTTTACTCTTGATATGGAGGTCTGTCAGGGTAGTTTTTCCAATGGAAAACAGTTTACCTGATTTGTAAAGAAAAATGTTTCACACGCTACAGGAAGGCATCATTTGAGTCTGACAGAACAAGTTGTAACTGACAGGCAGCTCAAAGATTCTCCGTCAGCTCAGTTTGAAATTGATCACAGGTATTGTCAACCGATGATAATTTTGAAGAATCAACCGATTGTTTCCCTTTCGCCTGGCCTGTTTGGTTTGTTTCCGATTCGAAAAGTCTTAGATGAAGAGCGCCAAGCGCTTTCTTCAAAGAATCTTTGAAGGTTGAGCTCGAAAAGTAGTAAATAACTGGGTCGAGCACACTGTTCAGGTAGGTTATGCACAGAGTATCGTAAAATATCTGAACAGCAGTTTCATACGACCGGCAGCTCACAGTGCTCATGCGCTTCGTGATTAACACAGCGATAACTGCAATGTTTGTGGGCAAGAAACAAAGCACAAAAACTGCAGCCACAGCGATCACGAGCTTCACCGCTCGTTTATATTTGCGCCTTATTTCAGTTTTCATCTGTTTTAACTTCCAGATGATGGAGGACGTGGAGAAGACGATAATCGAAAACGGGAGGACAAACTTGAAAAGAATAAACACAATATCGGTCCAAATTGCATTAATAGAGAACGGCTGGTGGATGTGAAGGGGTTCACAGTAGGTTCGATTGTTGTACATGAAGGTATGGCATTCAGTCACAAAATGCAACGAAATTGCCACTGTGAGAACCCACAAACCGGCGGCTACCTTCACTGCACAGCTTGTAGGTATCTTGTTCATTCTGTGGTGAGGGTGGACCACTTTCAAATAGCGATCGATCGCCATCGCCGTGAGGAGAATGACACTTGTCGTCCGATTTAGAAATATCATGAAGATCTTCAGACGACAAGGAACATCTCCGTAAATCCAGTTCTTCCCCCTGATAAAGTAATCTGCTCGAAACGGTAAACAGCAGATTAACAGAGTGTCTGCAATCGCCAGGTTCAGTGAATAAACTGTGTTTGGTTTCCAGGATTTCACATGAAAACTGAAGATCCATAAAGCAACGATATTTCCAATAAATCCGAGGATAAAGGTTATGATAAGTATTGGTGGATTGTAGGAAGAATTAACGTCTTCAATAAGATCGCAAGGCTCGGTCCCATTGCCCATTGTAGGTTAGCAATATCACACAGTTGCACAGGAATACGTGAACAGTGCAAACCCGAGTTCTTTATATCATGTTGTGGGTGGAACTTTAATGAAACCAGAATAATACAGAAGTGTACTATAAAGCTTGGGAGTACTCCTATAATACCTTAAATATCCATTCGCTGTCAACTGCATACAGCGAAGTTTGTAATGTATATTTGGCTAGAAATAGTCTCAGAACAAAAAAAATATAATTCTAGGTTTTTGACACGCCCGGATATTTGCATTTCCCGTGTGAAAAGGAAACATTTGAGCAAAGTTGACTTTTGTATAAACTGTTAAACAAGCTGACTTCTGTTTTTGTTTCAGTGAGTGCATTTCTGATCCTTAATTTGCAACTGTTCTGAAACTTTCTGCCACATAAACATGAACCCCCACCATGAGGACTTCAGTTCACTTCTCCCAGCACTGCATTTGTTTAAAGGCAACAAAATAACTTCGTGGCATAATTCTTCCGAAACAAATGTAAAATGAAACATTACCTTAATTGTATAGTGTATCTGATTATTCAATGATGTTTGTTTTGCCCACTTCAGCGACAATACCCTTTATTTACACAGTGGTTTTAGCAAAGGGCTAATGGGAAGGAAACTCGTAAAGGCGCCGAATCACTCAGCCATCGGCTGGAAAACTGGTAACAGCACTGCATCCCGTTTTAGTAAAGGATTGCCACATCTTATTCCATTCGGGCACTTAACGGGCCAGCAGTGGGCTGCTTCAAGGAACCCAGGGTCAGAAGATCCTATACCCCCGCTCAAAATAAAAACAGCAAGAGTTAATGTAGGAGCTTTTGAACTGCAGCGCCACTAAGGGGGTGTGGACAGCTGTCAGTACCACACCCAAGTCCCAGCATTGTCACTGAAACGCAAATGAGTGATGTCAGGAGGGGTTTTGCAGGGTAGGATTGTGGGGTGGAGAATTGTGGGTTTGGCAAGGAGGGTAGAGTGTAGCTGTCCATTAGGGTGGGGTGTAACTGTCCAGTAGGGTAGGGGGTAGCTGTCCAGTAGGGTAGGGGGTGTAACTGTCCAGTAGGGTAGGGTGTAACTGTCCATTAGGGTGGGGTGTAACTGTCCATTAGGGTGGGGTGCAGGTGTCCGTTAGGGGGTAGCTGTCCAGTAGGTCCTGCTTTTGCAATGTCCAGGCCCTTGATCAGACACTGAGTATTTTTGAATAACGGACTCACCTGGGACCCGGCAAGCATCCTCAACAGTATTTGTGAGATGCGGGCTGTATGGGTTAGTAGCAGTGATGGCAGAATGAGATTCTTAATTGGACATTAATTGCCCACTTACAGGCTTCAGTGAGCCACAAATGCCCACATAAACTATCCATTGGCCTTTCCACCACAGACTTAATTGGGTAGATAACAAGTTTGCCGCCCATTGTCTTCCCACCTGATAAATGCACCCCATCATCAAACATACCATGGGAGTGGCACAGGATTCGTCCCTAGATGTGCTTGTATGCCATGCCTTCTTCAGAGGCAGTGTCCTGACTGGAGTTGTACATAAGCCTGCTGCTGCCATGATGAAGGTAATGTGTGAATCATCACCTTGTGTTTAGCAAATAAATAGGTTGTGGTCAAATATCTTATCTGTGTTGTGTCAGATATAAAATTTGATGAAATGAGATTTGAAATCGTGGTGAGATTACGAACATAAAATTTTAAGAAATGAGAGCAAGACTAGGCTATTCAACTTCTCATGCCCATTCTGCTGACCAATAAAATCATAGCTGATCTGATTATGGCCTTAACTCCACTTTCTATCTATACCGTGTCAACCTTGAGACATCTTCAGGCAAAAATCTGCCCAACTCAGCTTCAATGACCCAATCTCTGATTGCTCACTAGAGTGAAGAATTCCAAACGCTAACAACCCTCTGAGACAATAATTTCTTCTCATTTCAGTTTTAAATGAGATTTATTATAAAACTGTGGATCTTGTTCCAGCTTTCTTGATGCACAGCATTCAGATTTTCCAGCCACTTCAGAATTTTATGGTTCAATATGATTGTCTCTCATTCTTCTTAACTCAATATGCATAGGTGGAAGGAAAGGCTGGATAGGATGGGATTTTTTTTCCTGGAGCATTAGAGAATGAGGGGTGACCTTATAGAGGTTTATAAAATCATGAAGGGCATAGATAAGGTGAATAGCCAAGGTCTTTTCCCCAGGGTGGGGGAGTCCAAAATTAGAGGGCATAGGTTTAACATGAGGGGGAAAGATTAAAAAGGGGCAACGTTTTCATGCAAGGGAAGGTGCTTTGATGGAACGAGCTGCCAGAGGTAGTGGTAGGGGGAGGTACAGTTACAATATTTAAAAGACATTTGGATGGGCACTAGGATAGGAAAGGTTTACAGGGATATCTTCTAAATGCAGGCAAATGGGACTAGTTCAGTTTAGGAAACGTGGCTGCATGGACAGGTTAGGCCGGAGAGTATTTTTCCATGCTGTATGACTGTATGATTCTATGCTGAACATTGATTCATATAACAACCCCCACATAACTTCTTTGAACAATTTCCAATTTAAGCATGCCTCTCCTTAAAGTGACAAAAAATGTGTACAGTAATATAGGCTTGCCTGCAACAATGCCCTATACAGGTGTAGCAAGTCTTCCCTACATTTATATTCCATTCCCCTTGCAATAAAGGCCAACATTCCGCTTACCTTTATAATTACTCGCTGTTCTCTCATACTGACATTTTATGATTCATCCACAAGAACATTTGTGTCCCTCTACACAAATACTCCTCTCAGTTTAAATAATACAATATACTTCCAAAGATACTTCCAAATACAATATACTTCCAAATGTGTGGTAGGTAAATTTGTCAATGATGCTGAAACTGGTTGGTAAGTCAGTTGTCTATGGAAAGTACAGAACCTGCAAAAAGTTAGAGACAAGTTACTTTTGGCAGATGGAGTATAATGTGGTAAGATATGATGTTGTCCATTTTGGCAGGAACAATAGAGAAAAGTAAATGAGCGATTACAAGACTCAGTGATTCAAAGAAATTGTCCTGAATTGTCCCGACAAGTTTGAGATGAAAAGGTTTGATAAAATGTATATTTTTTCAGCAATATTCAAGTTCAGTGCTACCAAGTAACTAGTTGACTCTAATAAAGATAGGATGCAGGTATGGCAAGTTATTAGGGAGGTAAATGGGTAATTGTGTTTATTCCAAGCAAAATGGATTATAAAAGAAGGGAAGTTTTACTGCAGCTGTACAGGACATTGGTGAGGCTACAGCTGGAGTAGAGTCATAGAGTTGTACAGAACTGAAGCAGACCCTTCAGTCTAACTTGTCCACGCCAACCAGATATCCTAAATTAATCTAGTCCCATTTGCCAGCTTTTGGCCCATGTGCCTTTAAATCCTTCCTATTCATATACCCATCCAGATGCCTTTTAAATATTGTTATTGTACCAGCCTCCACCACTTCCTCTAACAGCTTGTTCCATACACGCACCAACCTTTGCATGAAAAAGTTACCCCTTAGCCTCCCTTTTAAATCTTTCTTCTCTCACCTTAAACCTGTGTCTTCTAGTTTTGGACTCCCCATCCTGGGAAAAAGACCTTGGCTACTCACCCTATCCATGCCCCTCATGATTTTATAAACCTCTATAAGGTTGTCCCTCAGCCTCTGATGCTCCAGGGAAAATAGCCCCAGCCTATTCAGCCTCTCCCTGTAGTTCAAACCCTTCAACCCTGGCAACATCCTTGTAAATCTTTTCTGAACCCTTTCAAGTTTCACAACATCCTTCCTGTAGCAGGGAGAACAGAATTGCACACAATTTTCCAAAAGTGGCCTAAACAATGTCCCGTACAGCTGCAACATGACCTGCCAACTCCTACACTCAATCCACCGGCCAATAAAGGCAAACAATTCAAATGCCTTCTTCACTATCCTATCTACCTATCTATTTAATAGCCTATTAAACTCCTTCTCCCACTCCTTAGCCAATTGGCCAATCTGATCAAAGATCTCATTGTACTCTGAGGTAACTTTCTTCACTGTCCACTCCACCTCCAATTTTGGTGTCATCTGCAAACTTATTGACCCTACCTCCTATGTTTACATCCAAATCATTTACATAAATCACGTAAAACAGTGGACTCAGCACCAATCCTTGGGGCACACTACTGGTCACAGGCCTCCAGTCTGAAAAGCAACCCTCCACCACCACCCAATATCTTCTGCCTTTGAACCAGTTCTGTATCCAAATGGCTAGTTCTCCAGTTAACTAGTCTACCATGAGGAAGCTTGTCAAATGCCTTACTGAAGTCCGTATAGATCACGTCCACCTCCCCGCCCTCATTAATCCTCTTTGTTACTTTTTCAAAGACCTTAAATCAAGTCAGTGAGACACTATTTCCCACACACAAAGCCACATTGAGTAACCCTAACCAGCCCTTGCCTTTCCAAATACATGTAAATCCTGTCACTCATGAATCCGTCCACCACCGATGTCAGGCTCACCAGTCTGTAGTTCCCTGGTTTTTCCTTACCACCTTTCTTATGTAATAGCACCACATTAGCTAACCTCCAGTCTCCCGACACCTCACCTGTGGCTATTGATGATAAAAATATCTCAGCAAGGGGTCCAGCAATCAATTCCCTAGAATCCCACAGAGTCTAGGGTACACCTCCCGGGGATTTATTCACCTTTATGCATTTTAAGATGTCCATCACCTCCTCCTCAGTAATATGAACATTTTTCAAGATGTTGCTATTTATTTCCCCACGTTCTCTATCTTCCATATCCTTCTGCACAGTAAACACTGTTGCAAAATATTTGTTTAATATCTCCCCCATTTCCTGCGGTTCCACACTTAGGTGGCCTTGCTGATCTTTAAGGGACCCTGTTCTCTCCCTAGTTGCCCTTTTGTCCTTCATGTATTTGTAGAATCCCTTTGGATTCTCCTTCACACTATTTGCCAAAACCATCACGTGTT